GAAGTCACAAGCTGGTCACAGGCATTCATTGAGCACTTGCCATGTGCCAGGCACTGCACTGAGTGCAGAGAAATGCCCCAATATGGTGCCTGTCTCCAAGGAGCTCACATTCCAAGGAGACACATGTGAATAACTATGTACAAACAAAGTGCATGCAGCGTAAGTGGAAGATGATCATTGGGGTGAGGCGTTGGACCCTGGAAGACCTGGGAAGGCCTTCTACAACAGGTAGGGCATGAGCTAAGACTTAAAGGAAGCCACAGAAATGAAGTGAAGGAAGAGAAAAAAAGATGGGGGGCAGCCAGTAAAGAAGCACATAACTGGGAGATGGAGCATTGCATGTAAGGCGTGACAAGAGGGCCAAGGTATCTCAATCATAGAGAGCAGGAAGGCAATAAAATGAGGAATGGAAAGTGAAGAAGAGACCTGTTTGTGAAAAACTCTAGCTTAAAAGAGGATTTTATATTTGATTCTGGAGGTAATAAAAGAACCACTGGACTTTAATGTGTGTGTGTGTGTGTGTGTGTGTGTGTGAGAGAGAGAGAGAGAGAGAGAGAGAGAGAGGAATTTTGGAGAACACCAAGTTCATGTGGATGACTAAGAGGATAGTGGTTCCTGGAGAATAATAGTGAAGATGGAGAACTGGAGGTTTTTGAGGAAATACAATGAGCTCTGCTTTGCACATGTAGAATTTGAGATGCCTTTGGTATATCTATTTTCAGACGTCCAAAAAGCAGTTGGTGATGTGAGATTGGAACTCAGGAGACAGATAAGAGCTAGCTATATAGATTGGGAATCTTCTGCAGAGAGATAATTGAAGCCATGGGATCAGATGAGATCACCCAGTGAGACAGTATAGAGGGAAGAGACTAGGGCTCAAGACAGAGCCTTGGGGATATTCCTGATTAGTGAGCATGATCTAAATGAAAATTTAGCAAAGGACACTGAGAACAAATAGTCAGACAGGTAGAAGGAAAATGAAATGGAAGCAGTGTCAAGAATGTCAAGACAGAGCAGAGTATCCAGAAGAAGAGGGTAGCTGATGGTGTCAGAGGCTGAAGAGGGATCAAGAAGGATAAGGGCTAAGCAAAGGCCATTAGATTTGGTGATGAGAAGATGATTCATAACTTTGGAGAGAGAAATTTTAGTGGACTTATAGGTTTGAAGCCAGATTACAGAGTTTAGTAGTCAGTGATTAGAGGAATTGGAAATGCCAGCTGCAGTTGGCTTTCCCAAGGAATTCTGCTGAGAAAAGGAGACATCTAGAATGATAGCTAGAGGGGGTGATTGCATCAAGTGAAGATTTTTCAGGACGAGTGAGATATCAGTGTTTATATGGGAAGGGCAAAGAACCAGTAGAAGAGGGAATGAGAGAGAGAGAGAGAGAGAGAGAGAGAGAGAGAGAGAGAGAGAGAGAGAAGAGAAGGAGCAATAGGTTGGAGAAGATGACAAAACGGAATTGGATTGACCACTTGTGCATTAAGAGGGGTTTGTCTTGGCAAGGAGAAGGGCCAACTCTTCATGGGAAATGGAAATGAAGGAGGAAATAATAGGAGATATCTGAGTGATGTGAGAAAAGAAGAGTTTTCTCTCAGCAAATAGACTCAATTTGTTTGTTGAAGTATGAAGTTAGGTCCTTATCTGAGAGGGTAAAGTGAGAAAGGTCATAGGAAGCATGAAGAGGGAATGAAAATGTTTGGACTAGGTGCTATATGTTGAGAGGGATAGTTAACTGATAGGAGTAAAAGAATTGGCTTACTGTTGTGAAGACCCTATCGAGGTTATGCAACATAAATATATAATTGTTTCACCAAGGATGGTTTCATGCTTTTCTCTGATTTCATTTAGCAGCATGTGACAAGGAGTGAAAGAGAGTAATGATGAGAGCACTCAGTATTTTGGGGTTTGGCAAGGCACGATCAGCAATAGAACAAAGAAAAAAAAAGGAACTGAGAACAGAAGATGGTGTGGAGTTGAACTGATTAACCAAGCAGCTGAGAGAGAGAAGGAAGAAGGAAGACAATATATCCAGTGCAGGGGGCATGTCCTAAGAAAGAACTGAGGAGTGGAGACATTGGAGGTCATAGTGTAAATGAAGAATAATGTTCGGAGTTGTAAGGCAGAGAGAAAGATGAAATGATAAAGTATTTTAATAATCTGATTATAATAAATTTCGCATCTCATAAATTTGAAATTGGAACACAGGTAGGTGATGGCAAATGCATCTGCAAGACCATCTCTGTGTGTAACTGAGGTGGAGTGGAGGATAAAGTGCCCTGGACTTGGGATCATGAAGGCTGCGTTCAAATCTTGCCTCTGGCACTTAGGAGCTATGTGACCCTGACCCTTCACTTGTCTGAGCCTTCATTTCCTCATCCATAAAACAAGGATGTTGGACTGAATGACCTTTTAGCTCCCTTTTAACTCTAGACCTGTGAAGCTATAAATCCAAAGAAGCCATGCTCTGCAAACTAATTATACTGTTAAAAGGAGAAGGATGTGGTGTGGCAGGAATCTGCCCCTCCCCATTCACCTATTGAGAAGGTGGAAAGAGGATTGTATTTGATCAAACCTTGTCTTTTCGCGCCACCTGCTGTTAATAACAAAAACAAATTGGTCCCTGCCTTCAAGGAGTTTACATTCTACTGGCTTGTAAATGAATTGTAATTAAAGGGCTTAATCTGTATGATCCTTTGTAACAATTATTCTGCCACTCTCTTACTTTTTCTTTCATATGGATGGATTTGTAACAGGTTTATGCTTGCAATGACAGAATTCCATATTTGGGCAGGGCCTCAGAAACCATTTAGTTCAGGAGATATCTGTCTATATCTATATCTATATCTATATCTATATCTATATCTATATCTATATCTATATCTATATCTATATCTATATCTATATCTATATCTATATCTATATCTATATCTATATCTATCTATCTATCTACCTATCTATCTATCTATCTATCTATCTATCTATCTATCTATCTATCTGTCCCACTCTGAGGAGAGTAGAGTGACCTCTGGCCCCAACTTCCTGTTTATTCTAGTCAGGAATGAAAATCTTCCTTAGAGAAGAGTGGGGTACAAGAGGCTAGAGATGTGTATTCTGCCTCCCTTTGAACCACATAATGACAATCTTCTTTTCTTTGTTTCTTTCCTTCTTTCTTTTTCTTTCCTTCTTTCTTTCTTTCTTTCTTTCTTTCTTTCTTTCTTTCTTTCTTTCTTTCTTTCTTTCTTTCTTTCCTTCTTCCTTCCTTCCTTCCTTCCTTCCTTCCTTCCTTCCTTCCTTCCTTCCTTCCTTCCTTCCTTCCTTCCTTCCTTCCTTCCTTTCTTCTGTTTATTTTCTTTTTAATCTCTATTTTCACAACTAACTGAAATTTAGCATTTCCTTCAACTTTGAGTGTAGGCAACAAACATTATTCTGAGAAGTGGTTTACTGGCTTCCCCACATTGCCAAAGGGGTCCATGACACACACATACAACCATTAAGAATCTCTGGATTAGTTCAAGTGCTGCTTGAATTGAGATTGCCTTCTCCAGCATTTGGGACCTAAGAACATCCACTTTCTGCTTAAGGACCTTGGGTCTATATCTTTACGTTGTCCTTGATGAGAGGTTGCCTGGAACCCATCCATAAAGGATATGAGTTAAAGTTATGTGCTTCTTCTGTAAAATAAGGGAATTCTAAGAGAGGGATTGTAATGTAACAAATGATTCAAATTCCAACAGAAAATGGAACAGTTATGGTCATGAACCTTTCAGAAAGAAACAGGAAATGCATGTTAGTTTTCTCATGTCTGTGATCAAGATGTTGAGTCAAGCAACTTTATGATTCTTTTTCTTTTGGGGAACTGAAGGAAACAGCCCTGGATGATCAAGTGGAAATGACTCGTGCTCTCTGGCCTTATTTGGCCATTTGACTTCGGTAGTGTGATCCCTTTGGGAGCTTCTTACTGACAATCAGACACCAGAGGAAGGATTAATCACTTCCCCATTCTTGCTCTAGAATCATGTAGAGATCTCTTGGATAGTATCAAGTAAGCAACAACTAGTTTGGAACTCAGCTTCAACAAGGCTCAGTGTCTAGATCTGATTACCTATGGGTACAAGTGAGCATTCAGACTTTGGGTCAGCTCAGATGCCTGAAAAGTAGTTTTTTCTGGAACCCTGACAATCCTAGTGAATAAACTTGTACAATTCCAGGCAATTCATCTGGAAAGGCTATTATGGAAACTAACGAAGGGCACCGCTGAAAATCAGTGCATATTTTCTGCACTAGGTCACTGTGCTCTAGTGAAGGAGCTGGCATTTCAGCATGGAGATATGTCCCTGCCACATGGCTGACATGTTCAAGCTTCAGTCTCTTTTTTAATACTTCAGTCCCCTCTGGATTAATGCACTTGGTTATCTTGAAGGTGGCATGGGTTTGACCTGAGCCATATACCTATATATAGCCTTTGAGTGAAAGCAGACCTTGTCACTTTTCTGATTCATTGTCCCCACCCACTGATCAGGGAACTTGATTATCTGACACTCGACAAGGGTAGTTTTACTAGTTCCCTCTTATGAGCGCACAAGAAGCAGAACAGTTTCATTTGCAATTTAGTGGAAACAGGCTGACTTGCACCTGCATTCATAAAACGTAATGATACCTTCACTGGAGAAAGTCTCTCTGAATTACAACACTGCCTTTAGTAGGGCTCCAGATGGGGTGGCTAGGGTTTGTTTCCCTGCATTAGTGTTTCCTTTTCTGCCTCCTTTATCTGCGCTGCATGGCTTACCTCTTACAGCTCTTCTCTGTTCCTATCATCTACTAACTGTCATTATCTCTCTTTGATATTTTCCCCTGATGTCAATGCCTTAGTGAAACTGTCCAACCACAAATAGCTTTCACAATCACAGAATGTGAGAGTGGCCACTTAGCCAAGGCATGCCAGAAAGGAATCTCTACAATCACATACTTGACACATTCAGCCTCTCCCAGGAGACTTTCAAAGAAGGGGAAGTCTCCACCTCTCAAAGTGTCCCATTCCACTTTTGGATAGCTCTAATGTTTCTAAAGGTTTGCTTTTTTCTTTTTTTTTTCCGGCTTTTAGGCAATTGGGATTAAGTGACTTGCCCAAGGTCACACAGCTAGTAAGGGTCAAGTGTTGGGTCTGAGGTCGAATTTGAACTCAGGTCCTCCTGACTTCAGGGCTGGTGCTCTATCCACTGCGCCACCTAGCTGCCTCTCTACAGGTTTTCTTGACATGTAGCCAAGTTTGGCTTCTCTGTAAATTATACCCATTGTTCCTGGTTTTATCTTCTAGAACAAGACAGAACAAGGGAAATCCCTGTTCTATGTGATAATACTTAAAAATACTTGAAGAGATACAACTTCCCCTCTGAATAGCCTCTTCTCTAGGCTAAACAACTCAAGTTTTCTAACCAATCCTCATATGACATGCTCCACCAGCATCCTGGTTGTTCTTGTCTGGACCCTTTCTAGCTTACTAATTTCACTATTAAATCATAGTAACCATAACTGAGCACAGTGCTTCTGATGAGGTCTGCTGAAGTCTGAATACTTCCCCTCTTTTGCTTGTAAAGTTGATTGTGGCCAAATATAAGAATTTACATTTTCTCCTTCAGATTCAATGGAATGCTGTAGCTCAGGAATCGGAAAACTAGAGCCCAAGGGACAAATCTGGCAGCTGTTGATTTTTATAAGGTAAGCTCAGAATAGTTTTTACATTTTTGAATGCAATAATATGGTATTTATGCATATATATGTGTACATATATGTATATACACATACATATGGACATATGTTTGGGGTGTGTGTGTATGTGTGTGTGTAATTTTAAAATGTAAAAACCATTCTCAGCTTCCAGGCTGTACAAAATAGGTAGCAAGCTATATGCTGATCTCTGGTCTGTCTTATTAAGACACTTTTGACTCTTATCTGATCTATTAGCTCCCTTACCGAATCTGTTGCAGATTTCTTAAGCGTACCATCAATGTCTTCATGTAAGTAACTGATAAAGAGTGTAGACAGCACAAGGCAAAGGACAGCCCCCTGTAGTACTCTAATAGAGCCCTCTTGCCATGTTGACTTTGAACCACTAACAACTATTTTTTTCGTCTTGCCATCCAACCAGTTTGGAATTCATCTGATTCTTTGACCATCTAATCTATGTCTCTCCATCTCTAGAATGGGAATGTAGGAGATTCTTTATCAAAAACTCTGCTAAAATCTAAGGCAACTATAGCCACAGCATTCCCCTCATTTACCAGTTTCTTAATGCTGTCAAAAAAGGAAATAAGGTTAGGCTATAATTACTCCTTCTTGAAGAATTCTATTCCAGATGTTCATCACCTGTCTCCTGAATGATTTGTTATAGAAGTTTCCCAGGAATAAAAGTTAAGCTCATTGGCCTAGGTGGCTGCAGGTTCCCTTCACCCTTCGACTTGTCCATAATCTTTCACATATTACTGATCTTAGCTCAAACATCGTATTTCTTAGCTTTCCAAGACCCAATGATGTTGTTTACTTGTACCCATTTATTTGAATTCATTCCAGGTAGCAAAGTGCACTCTCACTATGGCCTTGCTCATGTTGGATATCAACTCCGTAAAAGTAATTTTTTGGGAGTAATTCCATATTTCTTCCTTTTCTATTTGCTTCTTGAAGCATTTTTTTTCCTATTCTTTCAATTTTTTTCTATTTTTTTTCAAGGAACATGTAGTCAAATAGTAAATAAGCACTTATCAAGACCTTACCATATGCCAGGAAGTGGCACGTGATAGTCTGGAGAGTTCTCTCCTCTCCCCACTTTCTTTTTTCCCCTCCCCTCCCCCTCCCCTCTTCTCCACTCCTTTCCCCGTTTCTTCCCTTCCTTCTTCTCTTTCTTTCTCCTTTTTCCTTTCAAAATAATGTTGTTTGGGGACATGTTTTATTCAGTACTTTCTGACTTTTCTGAAAGGAAAAGTGGTATAAGTTTTCTGTGTTATTGACAAGCCTTTTCTCTTTTTCCTTTCTTGACCCCATATCCTATTTTCTAGAGCAGGTTTTATTCTTCCATCCCTCCTTGCGTCTTACTCTTTGAAGTCACTGGCTATTAGGTCAGATATTCACTTAGGTTGAAGGACATTGTCATGTTCTTCGTCAGATTTCTCTTCTTTGCCATCTGTTGTAACAGATGTGTGATCTTCTCTGAGATGTTTATTATAACTAATGAATGAGAAGAGCTAGTGCCTTATGAATTAGTGGGTTTGAGTGAATGAGAAACCCAAATTCACTTTCTTTTTGTATTTGCCTCTTAAAGTAGAACCTATGAATTATCCTTCCATTTGCCTGTAACTGCTTTCTAGGTCCTGTTTCATATAGAGGGAGGGTTCAGGTGTGGGTGGGTTCCATTTCCTCCAGTAGACAATCCACTTACTGTTGGTTGGTCAAAGATTACTTATCAAAAGTGCCAATGGATAAATGAATGGTTTAGAGGTTATTCTTCTTAGCATTCTGCGTTTTTTTTTTTTTTTACCATCCTACCATCATCATTATGGATTCAGAAGGGGTTCACTGGGGTATACTCTAAGAATTTCTAGCTTAGATCAGTTGGCCAGAATTGATGAAATTGACAGATATTTGATGATTGGTTCCTTTCTGGGATTTTCTAGAAAAAGAGAGATAGAAAAAAAAGCAGAGGCATATAGGAGATTTTAGAAACCCAGAGTATTATTATTCTTACACATTTTTTTCCCTAAGAAAATGAGATTAGGGTTTTTTTTTTTTGGAGGAGGGAGGGCAGAGTGGCATGAGAACATGTACTATTTTAGCAACATGCTATTGACTATTAAATGAAAATCACATAATGTGAAAAATTTTAGGAGTTGGCCAAATTATCAATAATCTCCCATCAACCAACAAAACTTTATTAAGAATCTTTCATATGCCAAACATTATCCTAAGTGTTGCAAAACAAAGGGAAAAAAGCAGTAATAGTTCCTGCCTTCAGGGAACTTGCATTTTGATGGGGGAAACAGTATACACATAGATGCCTGCAAGATACATACAGAGTGGATACAATGTAGCCATAAAAGGGAAGACATTAGTCACTGGGAGGTGGGGGGAGGGGTGTCAGGAAAGGCATTGGAGGGGATAAATTAATTCATAATGGCTACAGTTGAAGACAATTCATAATTACCTAACATTTATAGAGTCAAGAGGGAAAGCCTGTGAAAGAACAAGGCCATGCCACAACTTGCAGTCCTTTGAGGGCTCCAGAAAGAAGGCAGCATGTTTCTTCTGCAGCCTTTGTCGGTGAGAAGTAATGGGAACAGATACCAGCAAGATGGTCTTAAAACGTGTTGATAGTTTGAATGGGATTTTAAATAGGAGAAGCTTTAGTGCTGGTAATAAAGGCCAGTTTTATACCAAGCACATGTCTTAACTATAAACTATGTGGACTCCTGCTCATTGTCTTCGCAAAGGGCAGAAAAGGAAATACCCAGTAATTGTATGGGGAGGATTAGGTGATGTATAAAAAGGACTTAGCTGAGGCTCTTGAAGATACTTCAGACTGTCCCAGATCTCGGGGGGTTGCTCGAGACCTGTTTCTAACACTGGCACCCTCTTAGGTTAGGTCAGATGTTGGGATGAAATGAGACACTTGCAAGGCACTGAATATTTAACAAAGGTAGAAATTGACTTTGACCTAACAACAAGAATTTGGAAGAAGAAGGCAGCTGTCCTTGCTTCCTCTAGATGTGCATCTCCCCCCCTCCCCAATTCTAACCCACTTTCTATTGGGACATGCATCTAGAGTAAGTAGGTCTTCTGGATATGGTGACTCGTCTAGTCTTAGGCAGCCACCAAATCTGAGAAGCATAGACTCCATGTGACTGCGACTTTTTATGCCTCTGGATGACCAGGAAGTTGCATCAGGGAAACCACGGCCAATTAGGTCCCTGGGCAGCTTTGTCCTGGGCCTTTGGCATGTTGGAGGTAGGGATAGAGACAAGGAAGCTTCATCAAAAAAGTTGAAGAGAATCAAGCCCTAGGGGCTCCTTTATCTTCTTTTAGGTAAAGTTTGCCCATGTTTTGTGTAAGAGGAAGGAAGTTTCATCAGAGAAACCCTGGTTTTATCATAGGGGTCCACCTTAATGAAGGTAGGGACTCTTGACTTCTTTGGTGTTTCTTTCCTTTGGAGAAGCCGGAAGTCTTTTCAATCCAATTCAATTTGATTCAATCAATGCTACCTGCGTGATCTGGGACAAGTCAGTTTATCACCCTGGGCCTCGGTTTCCTCATCTGTAAAAAGAAGGTTTGGATTAGATGATTCCTTCTAGCTCTGTGATCCTAATTTCCTATCAGGACACAGTGCTAAGTCTTGTGAGAAATGCCAGTAATCTAGGCCAGGAAACAGAAGAGATTGCAGTTTCTACCAGCTAACCAGGTCATCAGGAATGGAGGCAAGAGTAGAACGATGCATAGCTGAATTTTACCACTCGACGTCAAAAGTAGTATGGCATGATAGAATGAACACTAGGTTTGGAGCCAGAGGGCCTGGTGGAGAGACCTAGTTCTGACACATACTACCTCTGTGACCACAGACAAATCACTTCACCTCTTGAGTCTCAGATTCCTCATCTGTAAAATGGAGCCGTCACTACTCACAATAGAGTTATTATGATCACTACCACATAGAGTTAGTATTTAAAAAAATCTTTGTACAAGTGGAAGCTCATTGCCAATGTGAATTAGAGTAAGGTCAATGATGATGATGATGGTGATTATGCTTCTATAGTTTAATGGTTCTATAATTTCCCCAATTGGGGTACTTCCCCCAAGAGTGCTGATCACAACCAATTTATTTTTGTGTTATTCATATTCTCCTGTAAATCTTTTACTGAGGGATCTACCCTCAGTAAACTACCTGCAGTGTTGTTCTAGGTCTCTTGACATTCTGTGTATACCAGCAGAGCACATGTACCATCCATGATTTTCCCTTGCTCTTGCTCCATGGCCAGTCCCTCATCTCTCTGATGGCATTCTTAGGCCACTTCTCAGGCACAATTCTTCCATCAGGCTATTCATCTCCACCTTAAGGCTCTGAATTGCTTTTTGGGTGACCTGAAAATGTAATTTTGTGCTGTTTGATGACTCACAGGCAAATGCTACCAATAACAAGAACATTAACAAATTGGCCTTTGTTTAAGGGAGATATTTAGAGGCATTAAAAATACTGAACTACTTCCTATAAACACTAACCATATTATATCTGTGTTCACATGTATGTCTCTGTATCATAGAGGGCAGCTAGATGGCGCAGTGGATAGAACCCTGGGCTTGGAATCAGGAAGACTCGTCTTTGTGAATTCAAATCCAGCCTCAGATATGTAATAGTTGTGTGACCCTAGGCAAGTCACTTAACTCTGTTTGCCTCAGTTTCCTCATATGTAAAACGAGCTGACATAAGAAAGGCCAAACCATTCCAGTGTCTTTGCCAAGAAAACCCCAAATGGGATCACAAAGGGTTGGACATGACTGAAGCATCTTAGGCCCTTCACATATTTATGTATTAAAGTATATGTATGTGCATGGACATGCAAAGAACCTGTAATTTAAAAAGTCAATTTCATTGTCATATTTGTTTTTATATAACCTCCATCCACACCCACAGGCCCAGAGACCCACCCCTTTAATAATAATTTTTTTAAGAGAAAGGG